TTCGCAAATTGCCCTTTCACTGGGGAGCTGAGTGCAAAAACATGAGCACAGCGGGATTTGGGGCAATGGCTTTCATTTATTACTCATTTCTTGTTAAATTAAACAAGAAAATACTGTTTGTGAGATAGAGGGTGAAAATCAGGAGGGAACAAGGAATGGGAAGGAGGGGGGCAAAGAGTCCAATTTCACGGCCACGGGAACAGGAAAGCTGCTCAGTGCACCCAGCATTCCTCTCCAGGATGCCTGGCACAATCACACTATCTTTGTTCAGATAAAATAAAAAAAACAAACAACAGTTAAAGCAGGAAAAATAACACAAGTTAAGGGCCTCTTGTTTTGTTTTTCTTTCCTTTTTTTTTTTTACTTCACCACAAAGTTTATTGGAATGTGTTCACGCCGACTTTACAGCATGCTAAAACACTTGTGAGTGGCGGGTAATTAGCTAGCATCTCTCCCTCTCTTCCTCATGCTATTCTCAGACCCGCAAAACACCCTCTTCTATTCTCCATACAAGCCAACTAGCAACTGAAAACATCTGATTAAAGGGGCAGCTTCAGGGTGTATCAACCCCATAAGCCTTCACCGTCTTTTCTGCCTTTTCACCATTCCGCTTATTGTTTTCCTCTCCTCCATCGAATTGCTCTTCAGTGTAATCTTGTACCACCACCCACTTCACTCTTCCGTCTCTGCACAATGGTACATGCAAGGAGTGCATTTTTGCTGTGGTTAGTCCATATACTGCACAATACATATGTCCTGTACTTTATATGTACTTGACTAAGACAGACAGCCATCCTCTGTGTGTGCTGTTTGGTAATTGTCTTTATCTCCAAGGGCCAGACCTGAGGAGTGTTCCTTTGCACACATCGATTCAGAGGAAAAGGGACATCAGAGGTATCGGAAACTACCTCTTCCGTCAATCCTGCGCTCTCACACTTTCTCTTACATCTCTAGTTGAAACTTTCCAATGTCCTTTAAGTAAAAGCCAGTTGGAGACGGAAGGCGAGACGACGGCATTGTCTGTGAGGTCAGTCATCCGTGCCTCACGTGCTGCGTGTTGTTTTGTTCCCCACACAAATGCTGAGCTGTCAGAGGGAAGCACTCGACACAGGGAGTGAAATGAGTCTAATTTCTTGAGTTTGCCGTAAGGAGTGCTGTGCAAACCTATTTACGGCAGAGTGTTTCCATTTATGCTTCGATCCAAGCAAAGCGACACTTTTTTTCTGGATCAGGATCAAAGCCAACTGCGTTTTCATCTCTTTTTCTATCTGTATATAGTTATTTTGTTTCTTCTAAGATACTTTTTATTGAAGGAATTCTGAAGTCATGTTATTGAAGATTCTATCTTTTATCATTTTGTTATTTCGCTTTGTAGAGGTGAAAGCAGACAATGTGCAGTGTGCAAGTTCAAATAAATGTGAAACTGGACCACAAACCCAGTTTTTTGGTGTATGGCTATATTTTTCATTCATGCATTTTCCTTTGGCTTAGTCCCTTTATTTGATCAGGGGTCGCCACATCAGAACCGGCACATTATCCAGCATGTTTTTGCAGCGGATGCCCTTCCAGCTGCAACCCAGAACTGGGAAACACCCATACACTCTCGCATTCACACATACAATACGGCCAATTTAGCTTATTCAATTCACCTATACTGCATTCTTTGATTTCTTGTGGGGGAAACCGGAGCACTGGGAGGAAATCCGTGCGAACACGAGAGAACATACAAACTCCACACAGAAACACAAACTGACCCAGCTGGGGCTCGAACCAGCAACCTTTCTTGCTGTGAGGCAATAATGCTAGACACTGTGCCACCCCTGGTATATTTTTAAAATGACCAAAATACATTATTTGGGTCAAAATGATCTATTTTACTTCATTCATTCATTCATTCATTCAATCATTCAGTTTCCTTTGGCTTAGTCCCTTTATTCATCAGGGGTCACCACAGCTGAATGAACCCCCAACTTATCCAGCATATATTTTACACAGCGGATGCCCTTTCAGCTGCAACCCAGTACTGGCAAACATCCATACACACTCATTCACACACATACACTAAGGCCAATTAAGTTAATTCAGTTCACCTATAGCGCATGTCTTTAGAATGTGGCGGAAACCGGAGCACCCAGAGGAAACCCACAGGGAAAAATTGCAAACTCCACACAGAAATGCCAACTGGCCCAGCCGGGACTCAAACCAGCAACCTTCTTGCTGTGAGGTGTCAGTGCTAACCACTGAGACACCATGTCGCCTATCTATTTTACTTTTATGATAAAGATCATTAGAATATTAAGTAAAGATTGTGCTGCATGAAGATATTTAGTAAATTTTCTATGGTAAATATAGATATTTTTTATAATATTTGTTTAATTTGTACTGTGCATTGCTAAGCACTTAATTTAGACAGCTTTAAAGGCAATTCTCTCAATATTTTAATTGTTTTAACGCTCAGATTCCAGATTTTCAAATACTATCTCAGCTCAATAGTGTCCTACCTCAACAAACTTCACACTCATGACTGGTGTGCGGGTCACAAATGTGTATCAATACTTTTAAACACTACAGTCTTCTACCGAAAGCTGTCATTGCAAATACCTCTAAAACAAAAATATCCTATGCACTTATTATGATTATAGTCTTTTAGTGAAGTGTACTTGTTCATAGATATGTGGTTGTTTGAAAAAGTGTCCACGTGATTGATTAAGCACTGCTAAAGGCTTGCTAGGGTGAAAAATCAAGTCTGAAGGCTTAAATTTAACAGAACATCGAACAAACCACATGATTTAAGATATGAGCTATTCCAGCGTTATGGATGTGACATTTACAGTAAAATCTCAAAACATAAATTCACAGAGAAAGTATATGTTAACATTAAATTGAAATATCTGTTTATATTTTCCAAAACAACTGACCACAGAGTTATGGGAGCAGAAAAATATCAATCTATATACATATTTTATACTTGAAATGAGGGAAATAAACATGCGTTATGCATGTGACGAAAAAAGTACGCAAGTTACAATATACTTCGTAGAAATCTGGGAATTAAACTGCACGACCCAAAAGAAATAATGCTAATTAAAAGGATAAGAGTTCTCTCTACAGAACAAAAACAATTGATTTTATTTTATTTAACTTTTTTTTTCGCATTTATGAAGAAAAAGTTCCGTTATGGATGTGACATCTCTCCATTATGGATGTGACATATGTGAAATTGCCACTTGTGTGATTTTGATAAATCAAATATAATAGTTTGAAAACCCCGACAGACATTCTTGAGTATTTCTAAAGTGCTGTAAAATACTTGCTTAAACTAAAAACGCAGAAACGGTTTCGATATTTCAGTGAAAACTTTTGACATTTGCATGGAATTGCTCACATATATATATATATATATATATATATATATATATATATATATATATATATATATATATATATATATATATATATATATATATATTTAACAATCTTGAGGATAGTTTTGTCCCACGAAAACAAACAAACACTTCAATACTGTGCACTATAATAGTCAGCCAAGATAAATAGGAAACTGAACTTCCATCATTCTGTGTTATTGTGGGTATTCTACACTTTTGTCCGCGTGTATGTATGCGTGTGTGTCTGTGTGAACTAGCAAATGGCTTTCTTTTCACACACCTTTCTCCTGGGGCCGCTAAAGGTGGTAGTGGATGGGGGTGGAGTGTGTGTGTGTGTGTGTGTGCTTGGGGCAGGTGATGTTCTTGGGGGCTCAGGCATAGTTTCTGGGCCACAGATGTAGGAATGGGTGGGGTGGGGGTGAGCATGTGGAGGCTTTTGGCACTGATCAAATGGACTGCCTTTTGACTCCAGTATGGTTAGAAACACATTTGCTTTCAACACCTGAAAATACATGATTGCTGGGCCATAATAGCTACTTCAGTCATAAAGCGAAACACCAAATGAGTGAAGGCTTAAGTAATATGTTTATTGAAAATAGGCCTACGTGAACATTTCACTGTCTTTAATTAAGAGACATTATCATTATGAGTCGTGCATGTGTGCGTATGAGTGAGAGAGAGAGAGAGACTGGCAGAGGTGTGTTAAGCCTGGGAGAAGGGTAGATATATGGAGATAAGTGGTGTCTTGACAGCACTCCGATTACTTTGTGGTAAATAAAATAGAGGAAGTGAAATCCATCAAAGCAGGAGGAAGAGCCAACCACATCAATGGCCTGTGATGCTCTATCACTTCTTCTCTATGGCAGGTGTGGACAGCCACAGTAAGAGAACTAACCACCAGCCCCAAAAACACCAGCTATCCTATAACCTAGATGTGCAACGGCCCTAAAAATATTTCGAATTTTACACTTGGCTTATATATGTTAACTACTTTTAGTCGTCATTTTGATACACATTTATAAACCTTGACGTGTACATCTTCAGTAATTGCTACCATAGATAACACTCTAATATGCACTGTACGTATGATAGTTCCTACAAATACACTACAAGCAACTCTAAAAAAGAATGGAACATGATAAAGTTCTATTATATATATCCTATCTTTCGTATCTTTGACTTCAGGCTGTTATTTTCTTTTTCTTGGCTAAAAAACTGAACGTGTGTGATTAAGGCTAGGCAAGATAAAGTGAATGTTTGTGTGTGTAAGCAAGCATGTGCGTTGACCACTTTAAGGCATTTGAAGAGCAGCGTGCAGTTAAAGAATACTCATAGAGAAGCAAAAAAGAGGAAACATTCAACACAATCTCACAGCAATTCGTACCTTTTTCATTTAGTGGCTAATTCGTATGAATTCCTACGATCTAATTTGTACAATTTAGTACAATTTGCTCATCCCCCAATGACGGTTGGGGTTAGGGGTGGGGTTAGGTGCCACTCCTCCTCTTTAAAATCGTACCATTTTGTACGACTGAACTCGTACGAATTAGCCACTAAACTGGCAAAACGTAAAATACTTACGATCAGGCTGAAATATCATATTACTGGACTCACCGTCAAGTGCTGGAAGAGCCATGCCCTCATAATGTTTGTTGCCACTTTAGGAAAGATTCCGCGTTTTTTGTTCCTCTTCTTCTCCTTGTCAGGGTCGTCATCATCTCCTGTGCTAGGTGATGCCACACTGTTGTCCAGACCATCACCTGTCAAAATGTACAGCAAAAACACAGAGGTCAGGACCTGGTCACTAATAGCAACACATAAACAGGCTTTGCTTTTAAAGAAAACATAGGCAATAAAGGTAAGCTTACAAGTAAGTAATGTGTATTTATATAGCGCATTTATTGTGTATGGCCATACATCCAAAGCGATTGCTAGGGTGGAAAAGGAGGGTCTTTAGAGGGTTTTCTTCACACCACCACCAGTGTGCAGCCTCCACTTGGATGATGCAATGGGAGCCACAGGACAATGGCGCCTGTGCGGTCACCACACACTAGCTCTAGGGGTAGTGGAGAAACAGAGATAGAGCCAATTCGGGGAGGCCTTGGCGGTTAAGGGCCAATGGAGGGAATTTGGCCAGAGGTTACACCCCTACTCTTTACGCGAAGTAACCATGGGATTTTTAATTGCCACAGGACCTAAGTTTGAAGTTTCATCCGAAAGACAGTGCCCTCTTCACTATACTGGGGCATTAGGACTCACACAGACTGAAGGTTAAGTGGCCCCTGCTGGCCCCACTTACACCACTTCCAACAGCAACCTAGTTTTCCCATGCGGTCTCCCATCCAGGTACTGACCAGGCTCAGCAATGCTTAGCTTCAGTGAGTAACCAGTCTTGGGCTGCAGGATGATATGACTGTGGCAACAACAGTGCATCAATATCACTTTGAAGCGTCACATCTCAATGCATTCATTTTTAATACTTTTATAAATAACCCCCATTTCTCACCCCCACGCAAATCTCAGAGAGAAAGAAAGAGAGCACAATGGACTTGTAAGGTTGCATTTCCCCCCTGCCTTCCAACACAGCGAGTCACCAAAGAATTGAGAATGACAGAGAGATTTAGTCTTCATTATCCCAGGGAAATATTGATTGAAGCGCGCCCGGTGTCTTTTTACCTCAGGTGGAGCAGTTACACACTATGAAAAAGGGGGAAGGAGGGGGGTTGAATATGGCTGCCGCACAAAACGGCAGCAGCTTCTCAAAGAGCTGCATTTTAATAACAATGCTGCATGGGTGCTTGCAGCAACCTGTGGGTGCTCGATAAGACTTCATAATGGGCAGCTGAACATACCAGAGCAGAGGAGATGGCTTACGTCGCCTTTTCAGCTTCACATCGCCTGTTTGCTTATGCATGATGATTTTATTCAGATCCCCAATTATCGTACATATTCTCCCTCAATGAGAGCCCAAACATGCCTCTAAGAAGACTTCTGATAATTGTTATTATGAACTCACAATTCCGATAATAAACCATAAAAGAAACACGAGCGAGGCAAACAACCACACATTGCAAGGGTTTTTCCATAGCGGAGGCACAGGAACCGAGAGAGTAACTTATTGATTACGTATAAAGCACTTCCAAAAGCCCCAGCGCTATTCGTACAGAGAGATTATGGTGGGTTAACTCTTTCTCTAGCTGTAGCTTTCAGTCAGCGACATAAGGCACCTGTATCATTGATAATTAATGGAAATGTCTGCAGTAATCCGGTTGGAGATAATTTTTTTTCCCAGCTCCATGCATCAATAGAATAATCAAGGGTCTAAAAGAGTCTTTGCTCCCCATTACCTCAGGCAAAAGAATTCCTGAAAGCATGCCTTGCGGGCACCTGAATTATATACGCCATTAGGAGAGCGAAGGCTTTCTACATTCCATATAAAACACTCCGCCAGCCCTCTCCGCCTAGGAGAGAAGCCCTAGAAAAGGCTGAGACTTTTTAAGTGAAGACTTATGTAGATACAATGGCTTTGCCTTTTACACAAGGGCACTTTCCCTCAGTCAGTCACTTACTGAGAAACTGACCATTGCTGAATCGCCCACTGCAACATACACAGGCAAGTGGGGGGGAGTACAAAATAACTTTAAGGCTAGTTTCGATTACATCATTAACTGATGCCAAAAACAGCCCTGGCTTAGAGAGCAGTTTGTCTTCCGACAGTTTTTAGGCAAATAGAACTTCCCAGCTCCCATCTGGGAAGGCAGTGGCACCGCTGGTTTGTAATCTAAGACACCATTTTCATTAGAAGCAAATGCTCCAAATCCGGTGTAAAGACTAGTTCGTGTTCAGCAAAGCCTAAAATAATAAACCCAGGGCTTGTCCCATGCGACTTAGCAAAACAGAAGCAAACACTGGATATCAGGTCAGACGGAGGAAGAGGGAAGGGGGGTACAACGAAAGAGTAAAGGAGGGCAGGGGTGTTTGAGTGATGTCTGAGGTAACTCTGTTGCGTGTGTGCTCTCTTGAGCTTTTGTCTTCCGCCTCTTCTGGCCATTTTGAACTGTTTAACCTCCATTGCCCAATAATATTGCCTAAAAACTGACCTCTGAAGGCTTAGACCTTCAAGGCAAATAAGGGGGGGGGGAAAGAAAAGCTGTCAATTTTATTGGGATTTCCATTTTGACGCAATTTGATACTGACCTAACTTAGTCAAGTCTGGAACTACTTTCATTGCTTTTTTTTAGCTTTGCAGTGTCAGTGTAAGCACATGGAGGTGTATACAGAGCAAGTTCCCATCAAAATGTTAGCCTGTTGCTAATAGTGTGACAATAAACAATATATATATATATATATATATATATATATATATATATATATATATATATATATATATATATATATATATATATTCATTAATTTATTCATTCATTTTCCTCTCAGCTTAGTCCCATTATTAATCTGGGGTCGCCAAAGCGGAATGAACCCCCAACTTATCCAGCATTTGTTTTACGCAGCGAATGCCCTTCCAGCTGCAACCAATCACTGGGAAACATACCATACACTCTCATTCCCAAACATACACGACAGATAATTTTAGCTTACCCAATTTACCTGTACCGCATGTCTCTGGACTTGTTGGGGAAACCGGAGCCCCTGGAAGAAACCCACACGAACGCGGGGAGAACATGCAAACTCCACACAGAAATGCCAAAATGTGTAGCAACAGCACTACCTACTGCACCATCGCGTCCCATATATATTTTAAATTATTTTTGACATTTGTCCAACTTCTGCAAAGTTGCTCATTTCAACTAAAACCAAAACCCAAGAATTAAGCACTTATGATTGGTTAAAAAGGTGTCTCTCCCCTGACTTTTTTTTACAAGATCTACTGCTGTCATAAACATGCCTTTTCTCAGGACACCTATTTCAGCATGTCAGGAAATAGGTATGTGCTTATCACTGTCAATTGTATTGGTATTTCCATCTTTAATACCGATTCACCTTATTCGACAAGGGCTAATCTATTTTACCATTGGTGTGTCAGCACAGGCATATGGCAGTGTCTATACGACACTTTTGTGTCAAAATGTCAGCCCACAACAGCTTCCACACTCTTCCCGTGCCAAATAAAGACGAATGATGGCGGCAAGACTGAAAAGGTGGAAATAATCATAAAAATGATGCTAGTCCATAAACAAGCTCACAGCCTCATTAGTCCAGCAGCAGGCTCCACTGGCAGATTTATGCGCCTTTTCGCTGATGCCATGAGGAAATGCCACGGGCGAACTTTGGCCAACTGCTAATGGGTTATGACAGCGTCTTAGCAACTACTGCAGGGAGGGGGGACACACGGTCCGGTTCGCCACTGACAGAGAGGAAAATGTCATCTCATCTGACCATGTGTGGTGGAGTCTATGCAGCAATTAGAGAGCAGGCCAGTGACTGGAGCAGGCCAGAGGCTGAGGAGGATGCCCCGCGGCTAACCAGGGAGAGAATTTTTTATGACCCCCTCGTACGCGCACACACATTCACGCATGAGATCAGCCTGTGACGCTCTAGCTGCCTGGCTGCTGCTAAAATCAGGTTAGCTTCCCAACGAGCCTTTGTCAGCCAACTCTTCCGATTGGCTCATCCGCTCCATCTTGATACCTGTCTCCCGATCTCTCTAGCCATCTCTCTCTCCGTCTCTGCCTTCACCACTCTCTCTCTCTCTCACATACTCAAGGCGCTTTCTGACATTATCAGAAAGATGTAGGCTAATCTGTTATGATCTGATTACTCAAAAAGGGCACTACCTGTTCCTCTTTACTTATGAGTACACAACATCGAAGTGTCAGCCATTTTTCTGCTGCTTTACAAATTAGCAGAATGACACTTCCAATCCGTCAAGCACATTTCCATGTAACGAATGTTTATTTGGGGGATCGGACACCTGTTTGTCCAAGCTATGATGGACAGGGCATTTAACAATTGTAAGAATGCCAATAGGCATTGCAGCATCTATGCACAGCAAATGCTTCTTTTTAAAATCTAATATTCATATTTTCAGCAGTTATTAAGCGAGGCCGTCGTAGCTCATGGAGTACAGCGTCTTGGCCAATTTTAAGTGTTTTGACTAAATTTTATTGGCCATGGTCGGATGGATGGGACCAAGCTGTGGAAACAGATTGGCTTTTGCTTTACACCACATTTGGTCCATGGATGATTTCGAGAGCACCCCTGGCCTCTCCCTGCAGAGTCAGGTGACCTGTGCTGCTCTCTCGCTCTCCCTTAGCATTCAAACATACTGACTGTACTACAGCTCTCCTAGTCCTGCAGAGGCTCAGCCTTCAGGGCCCGCCATCCGCCTTCTTTTCACTATGCACACATTCACACATGTTCACACACTCTTCGTTCGAACACACACACACACACACTCTCACATAAACAGAGTCGCATATAAAGAGAGTGGGCGAATGGGGAGGGTCGGGGAAGAAAAAGATAAAGCTGGGTTCATTGTATTCAGGCCATTCACATGGTTAGAATGGACCAGGCAGCGGGGGTTCCCTCTGCATGGGTCACAAGCGCCTCCCACCTCAAAAATATTCAGAACATGCAGGAATTCCTGCGGTATGATTCCCAACAAGAGACACTCAGATTAGCAGGGAGCTTTCCGTGCACGCTTGCCCCACCATACATTTTCTGTTCCTAAAATACATACAAACATTAGTAGCGGTCTGCTGACTGCAATCACTTGCCTTTCTCGCAAAATGTCCTTAGC